TGTATTGGAATTAGTGAATCGTTAAAATGTTCTACAGGTTGTGGAATTGTGGTGATATGAAAGAGGAAGAGGAAGCCTTTTTAGGAAAAGATAGGATATAAGTAAATACATTCAGAATAGACAGCTAGTCCAAAAACTGCACATCTCACATCATTAACAAGTAAACGTAACAAAGATAGCTAAGCAGTGTAGCCAACCAAATGAATTTGTATACATCAATAATTTGTATAATTATTATTATTGTTGTTGTTGTTGTTGTCATCGTCATCACAATTCTCTATACTTCAGGGCATTCAACACTTAAGAGCAATGTACAGTTGTTATATTTCAGAACTAGAATGCACAGTTCTTGTGTGTCAGTCATTAATAAATTGATACCGTAATTCTTGGACTTAATTATTATTTTAAAACAGAAAACTGAACAGTGAGATCGTAAAATTCTCAGGAAAAAAAATGCTACAGATTTTACTTAGGTTAACTAAACTATATTATATGCACCCCCAATCCACAGACTTAATGGAAATTTAATGGAAAAGGTTTTAATTATCATTTCTACTTTTGTAATTGTTGGTGAAATTGTATGTGCAGCAAGAGTCTCCATTGATTTAATCAAAAATACAATATTTCAATGCATGCATTCAATGGTTAAAAACACGTAAGCATGGTACACTGCTTGATTTTAAGAAGAAATGAGACAACTCAACTTTAAAAACAAAAATAAAGTTGAACTGTCATATGTGCATGCTCACTGGATCGTTCTTGAATCAAATTGCATTTCAAACTTCAAGTCCAATGAAATAAAACTATGATTAGAAGCAATTCAACCAATTTGTCTCCTACATATAACTAGTGTAATATTTAGTTTACAAATTGTAAAAAGTGCCTAAATCTAAATATAATATCATAGAAATGATTATTGAGTTGCATCGTTTCATGCAATGATAACTAACTTTAAAACATACTATAAAAACATAAAAATGACCCTTTCCTAAGGAAACTTATCTTAAGTAGCCCTGATTTTATGTATACTAATATTTTTCTTTTTATCTGTATTTCATATTTTGTTTCTGTTACCACAGGTAATAAAATGAAAGCTAGAGTACTACATTTTTCAAATGACCACTATAGAAAAGTTATAATGCACACAGTTGTTATACTGCAAAGAGTTTGTCTCTGCTATTGTTTGACTGAACGATGTGCTGATAAATGTTTCAGAGGTGAAGGACTGAATGCTGCTAAAAAAACAAAACAAAACAAAACAATTTTAGTCATCATTCTGTATATTTTATGAAGTGCTGAGTAATTTATCAGTGCTATATAAATATGGGTATTAAGGGTAATAGATACATTTATAATTATAAACATTATCACTACACCTACTAAACTTACTATAAAACAAAAGCTATGCTTCTTGATTGTTTGCTATGCTTTAATGCACATAACTATTTTAATAGTATTTTAAAAAAGAAAATTCTTAACAATCAGATGTGTCTATCTATAGTGGCACAAGACAATAATAGGCCAATGTTAGAAGAAACAAATTAATCTTGTAAACCAAATTGATATCCACAGTGTAGAGTAAGACAATTGATGTCTGGACTCAGTGGGGTTGATTTACTTAAGGAGTAAAGCATGTTCACGTTACCAAGTGAATTTACACTTTGCAAGAGAATTTACACTTAGCTCTGTGATTGAGGTAAAAATTCACTTTGCAATGAATACCCAATTGTGCAAGGAAAATTTAAATAACAGTATTTTGCTGGCACATGAAGGATGAATGTCATAAGAGCTTTACCCCATTCAGTAAACTAAGCGTGAAAAGTAAAAATTCACTTTGCTAAGAACATTTATTTATCTATTTACTTTTAAATCAACCCCAGTGATACCTCTGATTAATTGTCAATTGAATTCGTTTTTTTGGCTACTGTTTTCATTTAAAAATTGCAAATATCAACTAAACAGCACTAATGATCTATACATAACATTAGCGGACACAGAAAATAAAAGTAAAAAATTAAAAATTCTAAAAGAAAGATAACATTCTAAAACAAGTTTACCATCAGTGGATGGTATTGGATGGATTATTTTAAAAGTCCGGCATTTAAAAACAGCATTTACAGAGACACATTATCTTTTTTTTTGAGAATAGAACAGTTATTTAAGCCTGGTGCACATAAGCTTATAAGTATTTTTTTAGGAGTTTCTAGCCTAAATAAAGGCGCATCTGTTTCATGAACTGAAGCGACACTAAGCTCAGGAGTTAAACCTTTAAAATGAATTCAAGCACCTTAACTATTAACAAAAAATGAATCTTATTTGTGCATCACTCCTATGATGGACCACAATCTCATAGATTGTAGTCCATCATGGGAGTGAGTTTGAAATGGTGAGTACTTTACAACACACACAGAGAGCATGGGGAACAAAAGTAGCCACCCCCCAGAAGGAAGGACAGTGCCAACATCAATTCAGAGATGATTTGAGGATCTACAGCTGAGTGATACACAAATAAGTTAATTTTTTTGTTAATAGTTAAGGTACTTGAATGCATTTTAAAGGTTTAACTCCTGTATTTAGTGTCACTTTGATAAACCAATTTATACATGGACTGAATGTCCATGTATAAATGATGTTAAAAAAATCTCAAACACTGTAAAATAGTTCCCCTTATTAAGTATAGAGAATGCATCTCTTTCCAGCCATTGTCTGTTTTCAGGCTATAGAACTGTCAATAGATATTTATCAATCAATTTCCTAATTAGATTGTCACATTCAATCACACATACAGTATGTGGTTCAGTTTACTATATGTAGCTCAAATAAGAATTTTGCTTTCCAGAGTCCTTCAGGGCCTTGGACTATAGTAAACCAAGTTTATTATGATGTTGTTTGCTAGGGTATGCTAACATTTCACAAAAGTGGAGACTTGCTTTAACTACTAAATTAAATCTCATTAGTCATGCAGTTTAGGTGACATACATTAAATATTAAAAACTAGAGTTTTGAGACATATGTGGTATTTTAAGAGAAATCGTAAGCTTTTATTTATTTGTTTATTGCATTTATGTTAAAGGAACAGGGAACACTTAATTGTGCTTGTTTTTCAACACATTTCAGACTTTGTTATATTTTATGTAACTTAAAATTCATGGTTTTATAGCAGGACCCAAGCATGGAATTCTATGATTCCCTCCCTATAAAATATATATCCCAAGATCTTGCAATGTCACAGTAAGTATTCAACAGCATAACTCTCAAAATACTTTAAAATATATAATACTATTAATATTAGCACTAACATGTTAAACACCGTTTAACTAATTAATTAACTACACCCATTATAAAAATACAAAATAGCCTATAGATATTATAAATATTCTCTTATATTTGACAAAAAAGCATTTAATCGAATGATCATCTTATGTTGTCTCATTAAAATTACATATAAGCATGAGACCACATTCCTATATTTTTTAAGGATGGTGACATGAATTTAGAATTAATTACTTATTTGCCTTTTAACGACTCAACAAATTCAGTTCAGATATTATGGCTTATGACTGAAGTTTGAAATTGAATGCAGCAAATATTTTGTCTAAATGGAAAGAGTTCTGTTTGCTAAGAATGTTTCCATATAGAGAATGGAATAATAGTCTTAGTGAATACATCATTACTGCGTGCCTGGCTTTGAGCACAACAATAGTAGCTACTAGTACAGCAGTTTGTGAATGATTCATGTGAAGCGATTGCTTGCATTAAGAGTTTTTCATCTCTAAAATAATTCTCATCTGCATGATTACCTAACACATCCCTGTTTTCAACTCTCATCTGTTTAAGTTGTGTATTTGTATTTATTTATGTATTTAGTTATTATTGTAAACTGTATTTAATAAACTGATACAGGGTCATTTATTGAAAATATTTTTTTACTTGGTCTGCCGGTGGTTGACACTTGAATCAGTCTGCGTTTTCACCTAGCTGAAAATACAATTGAATTCTAATAATGAAGCTGAAAGTTAAATTGCATTTCTATAGCATATAATAGGAAGTTGTAGAACTACCCCTCCTATTGAAGGTTTCCCAGGCAGGTATATATGTAGATACCTAAAAACATTGTTGGGCATTCTCGCCAATCTTTGAATAAAGTGAAATGCTTGTAAGTCTTAATGTAAAGTATATGTAAGTAAATCTTTAAATCAAAGGGTTAAAAATGAAGTCAGCTGCTACCTTAATAATTACATGGGCAGCCTTTGAGTACAGCTGGCCTCTGCAAGCACTGGGTTGCGTACACAGGGGCAGTCAGGTCAGTTGCAATGAAGCTGACAACCTAAATTGATTCTCTATAGCCAGTATGTAATGGGTATTTGTAGAACTACCATTTCTATTGGAGGTTCCGCAGGAAAGTATATATTTAAAAAACAGAAAGGCATTAGATTTGTGGGTATTACTATTTTAAGTTAATATGTTGAAGGATTTTCCATGTCCTTTGATGATAGCTTCCACCAAGGTGAAAAGTTAGGTATATTATCTTCAAGGAGTTTTGCACAAACTGGCTGGGGAAGTTCCTTAAACATTTCTGGCAATGAATACATCAATCTAAAAGATCAGAAAAATTGCCCACTTCTGCCTAGTTAGCAAATGACCCTTGTATCTGAAATGTATGTCACATTTATTTCACAATTAATTTGCATGCTTATTTAACTAATTTATTTACATTATATGTTTAATTACCGTTTAATTTGTCATTTTATTTTGGCATGCTTGTTAAATCCAGAGTTTTGTAAATGGTCTATGTGTATTTTTTTAAATTATTCTTTCTTCTGATTTATATTTTCTTTACATTATTGTGAAATTTACTTTGTTTGTTTTTATTTTTAGATATACATTTTTGTTTTTGGCTTTTTTCCCTGTTGTTTTATGTTTCATCTCATTATCACCTTCAAAAAGACAATAGAAGCTGTTGGTAACGTGTATTTCCTCCCTCTCAATTTTTGTATTAGGTGGTTGTAAATGCCCTTATTGGTGCTATACCTTCCATCATGAACGTGCTGCTGGTTTGTCTAATATTTTGGCTAATTTTTAGCATTATGGGGGTGAACATGTTCGCTGGAAAATATGGCTACTGTTTAAATGTCACATCGGAAGAATACTTTGATATTGATATAGTCAATAATAAATCAGATTGTGAAGCAATCATAGCAGCCAATAATCAAAGCGCAAGATGGAAAAACGTTAAAGTGAACTTTGATAATGTCGGCTTTGGTTATCTAGCCTTGCTTCAAGTGGTAAGACATAAATATATATATATATATATACTTGTCATCTTTAACTGTATATTGCAGTGTATTGCACCCACAGGCTTTGTTTGTGTGATTTGTTATCATAAGGCAATTTACTTCTTGTATATCTCTATAAAATCGCTCTTAAATCACATAAACATGAATTTAGCAAGTTTATTTATATTGTTTGTTGATTTGTTTAATAAGCATATTTGCTGCTTGTGAGAGTACTTTTATAGCACTTTACAAACACATAGAAAAAAGGAAGGAGGGTTCGGACTTTTAAGGCACTCGAAGGATCACACAAACATGTTTTGTTTTTATATAAAGTATAACAACTTTTTATTTATAAACAAAATTAAAAATACATGTTTTTAAAAGAGAGACAACAAAATTGCCTAAAAAAGACCATAGGATGTAGCCCCATCCTCCCACATTATTATCTATATTACAATACTTGTTGCAGTTTGCTGGATATCAGCTTTCTAGTTATATTGTAGTCCCGTGGGACTTTACAAACACATCAGTTTATGATTTTAATTTTTATAACTACAACAAAGTTTGACCTGTAGCACCTTTCTGAATAGCAGGCGTGCCAACCATGAGGAAAACAGCTTCTACAATAAAGAAAAATGTAATGCTTACATACATGTCTGCAGTAACTAAAATAGTACCTATAGAATAAAGTGTCAAAAACATATATTATTCAATCTGTCAATGTACTACAATCCACATAGCAACAATTGCACCCATATTAATAAGATAAGCAAGAAATGAATGCATTATGTATCTAAAATGGGAAGCAAAAAAAGGGGGAAATGACAAATAGGGGACATATGCAAAAGCATAAAGCAAAGTTGTTAGAAAGAAAAGCTAAATGAACTACACGTTTGACTAGACTGTTGACAACATATGCATATAACACGTATACTGTATCTTTTGACATAATCCGCTCCTCTAGTGTCAGTTGAAACACCGTGGAGTGTTTCCTCTTCCCATTGGTGGAAATTAGACATGTCTTCTTCTTCTATCCCACAATGTAATGCATAGTGCCCAAACACCAGTAAACATCAACAGCTCATGCATCATCAGAAATGTCATATGGCAGGGCGTGCCTATGGCTATACATATAATCATTAGAAAGTTTGCACTTGCACATGCATCTGTGTCTGTTACAACTTGTTATTTTTCTTTTTCTTTTTTTTACCCTAATATTCAAGCTCTACTGAGCCCCAAGGGCCTCGAAGCCTGGGGCACTCAATATGCAAACAGACTTTTAAGCTTAAAAACTTAAACCTACATTATAATTGTTGTTAAGCAGAATAGAAGGGCTGAAAGTACCTTTCCCCTGGAAAATGATGCTATAAGCAACTAGTCATGTCACTAATAACCTAAGAAATTGGTCATGTGACGTCAGAATCAATCAATCTAAACTCTGATCTGCCACTTCAGCAGTGATCATGTCCACCCAGAAAGACTAATAAGGTTTAAGTTAACATAGGTATAATATATGCCTTTGTATACACCAGTGGTAGGCAAACTCTGGCTCTCCAGATGCAGTGAAAGTACAAATTCCATCATGAATCTGCATCTGGGATTAATGCCTGTGGCTGTCAGAGTCTTGCAATGCCTAATGGAATTTGCAGTTGCACCACAGCTGGAGGGCCGACGTTTGCCTACACCTGTAAAAGCAGTAAGCAAAGTAATTTATTTGTATTTCCTTGTTTTCATATAATGCATACTACTTTGTCAATAATGGACTCTTAATAATAAATACTATTATTTTCAATTCATAGGCAACATTTAAAGGCTGGATGGATATCATGTATGCTGCTGTTGATTCGAGAAAGGTCAGTATTGCTTAATTTGGGATATACAAACTCTACATATTCCTCCAGTAACGATTTGTTTAAAACATGCAGAAGTTAGGCCCCATTCACACCACCGCAGAAGCGGTTCAAATTGTGTTTTTGGCCGTTTTTAATTGCGTTTCAGCACTAAAGCGCAATTAAAAATGCCTAAAAATGCTAATAAGCGCATTGTAATTGAAATCTATATGGGAAGTGTGCTGATCAGTGTGACAAACGTAGCTCAGGGAGCATTTTGGGTGGCAGGTGGTTTGGATCGCGCTGAGCCGCACGTTTGCATGAATGGTCCCCATAAGAATGTATGGGATTGTTCATGTAGGAGGCTCAGTGCGGAAAAATATGTGCGACCGAACCGCTCTGGTGTGAACAGGGCCTTATAGTTCTAAGTGCATGTTTTAGTGTTTACTTCAAAACAAAGTACTAAAAAGCCTTCAATCGGAAATCAGTTGTACAGACCTGCAGGCAGTGAGTAGAGACAACACTTATCTACTGGCTCAATGCTGCTAATTTGATTTGGCATTCAGAGAACGCCATACTGCTTAGACAGCACAGTTCCAGTACAAATCCTAGCCTATTTGTCATGTGACATGTTACATCAGCAATCACTCTTCTCACCAGTTTTCTCCCCAGCATTCCTTGATATTTATATAGCAGTATATTAAAAACCTTTCATATGAATGAATTTGTACAAACATTCAGGTAGTTAGTGGAGACAACACATCTATTGGCTTGAGTCAGGTAGGTGAAAGTTGAACAAGGGTGTTCTTTTACATATATAATGCATTACATATTCGACTGTTCAATTCTTTTTTTTGCTGAATAAGATTGTATTCACTTCCAGATGGAACAGCAACCAAAATATGAAGACAATCTGTACATGTACCTTTATTTTGTCATATTCATCATCTTCGGATCCTTTTTCACGCTAAATCTGTTCATTGGTGTCATCATTGATAACTTTAATCAACAGAAAAAGAAGATAAGTATTAAATGTTTACTGACAGTAAACTTGGCCATCTTGGTA